GTCATCGGAATCCGTATCGTTCAGGCCTGATAACTTATTTGGCACGCTTGGCGTAATTTTTAAGTTCCCTAGTAGCCAACCCTGCTATCGTTTGACACAACCCTTTTATCGCTCTGTGGAGGCGCGCGCTGTCAACATCGCTTCTGTCACTCTCTGTGATGTGGACTCACTTTTGCTTTTAGCGCTCTGTAGCCTAACCTAACCATACCCGGTCTTTGCTTAAGAAAATGGTGGATTATTTAAATCTTAGCTTAGTGTATAAATGCTGAATCAGCTGCTGATTTATCAAAAGGAGTTACATCGAAGTGGCTCTCTCAGCGTGAGGGTAGAGTTTTGAATGTCCCAACTTAACTTGTATTTGTGTTTCGCTGGCACGTTGGCGTCCCTTTTCTTTTGTCCTCTAGAATGTCACATGGAAGGAAGGACATGTTCTTTCAATTATTTAGTGAGCCATCGGAAGTAATTTCGAGATAGGTTCATTTTCTTAATTGGAGGTAACCTCCATTACAAACTGGCCGATTTTACACAGAGTGTCAGTATTTTTTGTCAGTAATGTTCTCGCCAAGCGCTGACGAGAACGGGCACTCATTTAGCCCAAGGTAACGGGCATAATCCAGTCCTAGTAGTATCCTAAGATTACGCGAGCCGGAGTGGTCCGCCAAGTCATCGGGTATGATACTGCTAATAGACGAAACGCACCGATGGCACACATGCGAGTAAGCGGACTTGACTCTTTTCGCCGAGGTAGTGAGTCAAAGGCGCGAGTCTCTCTAAGTCAGATCGAGCCGTCAGAGTAGTTGTGTCGAGAAGAGTCGCGAGTGGGTAGCTGTGCAGCTTTGGTGTTATATGTGCGCGCGTGTGGCAGGGTACAACAGCGCGAGTGAGAGCGCGAGTGTGCATATCCGAATGGTCCCCATCCGGTGGGCGAATTCCTTAGGAGGACACAGTAGTGCCACATTCTATTCGCATGACATGAAGAGGAGGTCAGCCTGCAAGCGTCGGAGTGAGATCTCTTGGAGCCGCGCCCGACTGGAGGAGCGCGCCGTGCGGTGCCGCATCCATAAGACAGATACGTTATGTGTAGTCACACCGACTTAGATTGACACGCAACTCGTCACGGGATCAAGCGCCGGGATGCGTTGTAGGAAGGCGTGAATCCTGTCTGTTCATACTGTACGACAAGTACAGTCCTGCAGTTGACAACGGTATTAGCCTGTGACGCGCACTGGCGAGAGCCCTGAGTTTGGATATCGTTGTCTCGCAGGGTCATGCTATTTGTGGCAGATTCATTCGCTAGTACGTCCATTCATCAGTGCGCGTCATTCTGTGCCCCATTTTTGTTGTATTGGATGTGCCGAGTACAGAAGAGCGAGCCGACCTCACGACAATGCTACTTCGTTTGAAGCAAGGTTAACATAAGATACATGCTAAGTGTAAGTACTTTTAAGAGGTTCTAAGGTTTTACTTATTTAACACTAACATTTCTGTCTTGAATAAAAATATGTGACATTTTAAGTAAAATCGTACAGACTATGTTTCGTGGTTAGATTGTTAAGAGCATTCATGTGGATTTAATATTTAAAATATGATTTAGGTATCTGTAGGTTTCAATTACATTACATTCTTGTTAATGGTATTGAGACTTTCATAGATAATTTAGTAAGCATAAACTATTACACCCGATCTGTTTCTTTACGATATAGACCACTATAATATATTATTAAATACTAATACAAAGTGCTATTCACCATCACTAGTCCACTCTTGAATAAATATATAGTCATTAGTTTTAAGTAATTAACAACTATGTTTTCTTTCTCTGTACATGCCTGGCGCCCAATATCTATATTTTTTGTTTATTGTTATTGATTAGTTTTCTCTCTAGTGAAATACCTTACCCACGACTGCTCTCCGATGAAAAGCTGCCGTTCGCAGTGGTAATGTTTTTAAAAAACGCTACACTTTTATTTAACGCCAAAGTACACTTCCATTATCCAATAATCTCTATAATTTTGAGGGTTATACATTTGGCGCCCAACGTAGTAAAATATACGATACGCGACTGGTTGTGTACGACATTTTAAATGTCGTCAAAATAAAAGGAACGAATTGGTAGTAAACTTTATTCTCTATGGAGAATAGGGACCTCTTTCTAGGGACCACTGTATATTGTATATAAATTATGTAAATTTAAACATGGTATTTACATATTCTTTAAAAATATTGAAAGTTTTACAGGCTTTAAATAGGAAATTAATAAATTTTATAGCCCCCTAAACCGGATTTAATAAGTTTTATAGCCCCTTAAAAGGAACTTAATTTCCTTTTATAATAAAGATCAAAAACTTTCTGAAAACTTTAAAAAACTATTTAATATTCGGATAAGCAATCAAAAGTTAATAAAACTAAAGATCGTTATAAAAGTAAAGTTATGTAGGTCTAAATTACGTAGAAGTTTATTCGCAGCGAAGATGAGCGCATCCAACGAAACAAAAAGAAAAGGAGAAATAAAAATAGGAATAAAGTGGATGAACGAGGCGAGGCGTCGAATTGGAAAAGTTAGTTTTCAAAGCGCAATAATTATAAACTAAAGCTAAAAATACCGCTAGGTGGCGTTAAATGGCCGGAACTAGCCAGCGAAGGACCTAGAAAAGTGGTTCGTGGCAGGTAATGCTCAATTATAAAGCCGTAAATAAAGTTTCCTAATAAAGCTTAAGTATTTCTTAATTAATTAATTCTTAATATTAAGTATTTATTACTAAACTAGCGTGTACCCGTGACTTCGTTTGCGTCGAATTAATCATTTGTAATGGTGATGATAAAGCAAAGCAAGAATTTCCATTAACATACAAACTGGAGCAGAATCGTGGTTAATCAATTACCCAACTTTTTGGAACACCCTTTAATATTTTTTAAAAAATTTCAAAATATGTAAAAAACAAAATAAATTATGCGTGTCCAAGCGTTTTCCCGAAAGACTAACTGTTTTTTAAATAACAAATATTGTAATATTTGAGGGGCGTTTTCACCCTCGTGGAATTTGAAATTCGAAAACCCCCTCCTTATCCGAACTTCTACACCCCACAATCAATCCGTTTGCCAAAAATAAGCTTTAAACGTCAAGCAGTTTAAGCAGAATCGTGATTACTAAAATTACTAAACACCTTGTATAAATTTTCAAAAAATCTTAAAATATGTAAAACAACAAAATAAAATATACGTGTTTAAGAGTTTTTCCGAAAAACTCACCGCTTTTTAAATAAAAAATATTCTAATATTTGAGGGGTGGTTTCACCCCCTTAGAATTCGAGTTTCAAAAAATCCCTTCTCATCGAACCTCCACACCCTAAAGTCAATCCGTTTTCCAAAAATCAGCTTTTTACGTCATGCGCTTTAAGCAGGATCGTGATTAATCAATGACCAGATTTTTCAAAACACCCTGTATACATTTTTAAATAATCTTAAAATATGTAAAACACAAAATAAAATATACGTGTTAAAGTGTTTTTTCGGAAACTTGACCGTTTTTTAAATAAAAAATATTGTAATATTTGAGGGGTGGTTTCACCCCTTTGAAACTGGAATTTCGAAAAATCCCTTCTTATCGAACCTCTGCCAAAATTGAGCTTCTTACGTTGAGTGGTTTGAGCAGGATCGTGATTAATCAGTGAGTCAGTCACTTAAAGAATTTATACATTAGTATAGATAAAAGAAAAACTGAGGAAAAAGTCAAATATTCGTCAAGTATCATTCTATGTAATAAATCTGTTTGGCATATCTCTTATTAAATTTATATTTTTGCCAGATTATGGAGTTTTTATGTGTTAACACTATATTTTCTGCTTAATTTATAATTGGTTTTATGCGAAGTGTATAAATCGGGAAGAACATCGCGCTACTGCTTGAATTAATTAAAATTACTGTAAATTTATAAAATAGTCTTTAAAATAGTTACTTGTGCAAAGGTACGATTGTTTCCTGACAAAAAAACATAACAAATAACGGAATAATTATGAAAATAATTATGTCTCATTCTAGCATTTATTGCTACTTTTCAATAATATTTTATTTAATGTCATGTTTCTATTTAATGTCAATTTTATAAATTTTTATTTTGTTGTTTTGTTTGTTTTGGTAGTTCTTTGTTGTTTAGTTAATTTATTTTTATTATAAACGATTTATTTAATCAATTTTAATTATCAATATCATTTATTATTAACAACTTATTAAGTAATTGTTATCAGGTAGTATATCAAGTCAAACCTCAAAATTGTTAATTTTGAAGTTTAACTTGATATACTGTCATTTTAACAGAACGTCAACGGTTTTTGTAGACGTATCTGTTTTAAAAAACTAAAGTTTTCTCAATAGTTGTATTTAAATATTTTAAATAGTTTTTTTCTTTATTCTTTGTATTTTTTTTGCTTCCTACGACGGAAAGAGATAAACTTTCCGAAACTTTAAGCATTTTTTGTTCGTTAGGCAAATTTGTATATCTGTAAACCTAACTTCTCACAAGTAGTTTGGGATTAACGCCAGAATTGTTTACAAAAAATAACTATTTTATTTTGTAGATTTTCTTGCAGTCAGTGGCGAAATACCCATATAGGATTTTTTGGAGAGATCATTTATTGCATCAATTTAAAACATATTCTGCAAATAATTGTATCGATACTACTGTATATTTAACATGTTAAAAACATCAAATTTCACTGACAAACCAGCCAAATATACAGGGTTAGCCTTAAATAAGTGCAAATATATTCAGGGCTGGTAGATCTCGATAAAAGAAACAATTTTCTCTTTACCATTTTTCAAATATGTCTAAAATAACCGAGTTACTTAAGTTTGAAAATTTAAAAAAAAATTGATATTTTTTGGAAAAAATTTGAGAGCCACCGGATTTCCTCTGTATTCGCATCCCTTTAGTGCCGTAACCATAGAGTAAAGCTGTAACTCCTGTAATATCAGAGATTAAGTAAGTCCTGTAATATCAGAGTAAACGATAGTGTGTTTCGAATACGGGGTCGGTTCAAAATTTAATGTTCCCTTACATTTAATTTACTGGGAGGGACCCATAACACGGATGGCGTCTTCAAGGAACGATCAAATGAGATGTTCACACTGTGAAAAGACTGTCAGAGTGAATTCACCTTCAATTTCATGCTCTTCATGTCTATCATGGTTTCATAAGGGTTGTTCGGGTCTCACCAATCCCGAATTCAACAAACAAGCATCATTGTGGAATAAATCAAAGGCGACCACTTGGACATGCCAACCCTGCATGGACGAAACACTTCTACAATCTGGTAGAAGAACAAACACGAAAACAAAATCTCGTCGTTCCATCGGCCCTGGGGCTGCTCTTCCCGAGGATGTTCCTGAGAACGACCAAATTTCACTTCGGGATATTATGAACAAATTATTACAGATTGAATCTCAATATTCGGATCTCCTTTCCAAATATAACGAACAAATTAAAATAAACGCTGAACTCAATACAGAAATCGCAGAAATCAAATGTCAACTTTCCGCTTGTAACGGTCCTGCTGCCACGTCCTCGGCTTCGATGGCAACAGATGATTTGTTGAGAGAACTTCACGACCGGGAAAAGAGAAGAGGGAACTTTATCATATTTGGACAACCAGATTCTAACTCTGAATCCATAAGCGATCAAGACAAAGTTACTGCACTGAATGTATTGAATTCTACACTACCAAATAACAGCGTTGATCCAGTCAGCATCAGGACCTTTCGTCTTGGAAAATTTGCCCAGAATAAATCACGCCCTATAAAGGTGATTTGTGGTTCTCAAATTTCTCAGAGAGTACTCTCAAATTCTAAGATTCTGAGGAACACACCAAACTTATCCAGTCTATCAATCAGCTCCGACAAGACACCCAAGCAACTCCAAGAATACAGAGAAACTAAACAACGCCTCATTGATAGACTAGCAGCCGGAGAATCCAATCTAAAAATTAAATATGTTAATGGCAGTCCAAGGATCGTTAGTGTGGACGTGAATCATTTAAACTTCCAGGGAACGCAAATAATCAGTCCGGCTTAAACATCGCCTACCAAAATGTTCGTGGGTTGAACACTAAGACTCATGAATTCTACAAGTCTATATCTGTGTGTGAACACCACATTATAGCAATTTCTGAAACCTGGTTGCAGTCTGGTCTGAATGATGCTGAGCTTATTGACACCAACTACAATTTGTATCGTAAGGATCGCAATCTGGAAGTCTTGAATGTTACCAGAGGCGGTGGAGTTTTGCTGGCAGTCCGAAGTTATCTCAATTCGACCGTATTGGACCTGTCCATTTTTGAAGATGCGCTGCCGGCTCTCGACATTGTTGGGGTGAGTGTTGCGGGTGATGGGGGTGTTCTGTATGTGTTTGCAGTTTACTTTCAGCCTAACACTTCAGTTGAGCATTTTCGTGTATTTTTTGACGTTTTTGAGTCCTTAACATTTCTTTATGGACGCGACATAATCTTATTAGGCGATTTCAATATTCATTTTTCAGATTCACCTGCTGAGACTTGTCCAAAACTTCAGCTTTTAAACGACTTTCTCGCTTTTTTTGATTTTAAGCAATGTAATAGAATTCAAAATCAAAACAATACTATTCTTGACCTAGTTATTACTAACTTGCCTTCAGAAGTCTTTACAACTTTTCCATTTGTCAAGGAAGACGGTTATCATCCAACACTACTAATAATTCCTGATTTGCCGATGAAACCCCATTCAAACTTTCCCTCTACTGTTCAGGCAAAAAACTATAACTTCAGTAAAGCCAACTACCCGCATCTTTATAATCTTATCCTTACCACTAACTGGGACTTTTTAGAAGGCATGAAAGACGTTAACGCAGCAGTCGAGGCTTTCTATAATAAACTGTATGAACTCTTTGACCAATCCATCCCACTCTACAAACAGTATAAAAATGACAAAAAGTGTTCCTACCCATCATGGTATACATCCGAAATCATCAGTAACATTAAGGAGAAATCTAGAAACTTTAAGAGATGGAAAATCAATCGATCTCCGGAATCCTATGGGGCTTTTAAAACTCTTAGAGCAGTGATTAAGCAACAACTTGATAGTGCTTATAAAACGTATATAATCGCTGCTCAGGACTCACTACGAGCTGAACCCAGAGAATTCTGGAAATATATTCAGCAGAAACAGAATAGATCTCGTATTCCTGGCACTCTTAGAAACAGTGATAATACTCCTCTTGACAATCCCACTGACATTGTAAATTCTTTTGCCAATTTTTTCCAAGGTGTTTATATTGTGTCAAGCCCTGGCAATGTCTCGTATGAATGTGGTAATAGTATTTCTTTGGAGACATTTGACACCGAAGATGTGTTGAAGGCCTTAAAGTTCACTAAAAATAGAAAAACGGCTGGCCCAGATAAGATTCCTTCCTTTCTTATAAGGGATTGCGCTTTTGTTCTGGCTGAACCATTAACTAGACTTTTTAACCTTTCTATCTCAACACAAACATTTCCTGGTGTTTGGAAGCAAGCCAAGATTTGTCCAATTTTTAAAACGGGCAACAGAGATATCATTGAGAATTATCGTCCGGTCTCAATTCTATCCAACATTGCAAAGGCCTTCGAGAGGTGTATACATAATAAACTATTTTTCAAAATTAAAAATTTGATAACACCATCTCAACATGGTTTTTTTCCAGGGCGATCAACTGTCACCAATTTAACATGCTTTCTTGAATATACATATAACTCTATCGATGAAGGTTATCAGGTTGATGCTGTTTACACAGACTTCTCGAAGGCCTTTGATAAGATGGACCATGGGATTATGGCAGAGAAAATGTCACAAATGGGATTTGATAATAAATTAATAAAGTTCTTTTCCTCATATGTACATCAACGCAAGCAATATGTTGAATATAATGGTCACAGATCGTGTCCTTTTATAGCCACTAGTGGTGCACCGCAGGGCAGCTGTTTGGCACCACTGATATTTTCAATATACATAAATGATATAGTGACCCAATTAAAGAGCTGTTCGCTTTTATTTGCAGATGATCTTAAGATTTTTAGTGTCGTCCGGTGTAAGGATGACTGCATCCGTCTGCAGGCCGATCTTGATGTTATCTCTAATTGGTGCGTGGAAAATCGGCTTGCTCTAAACACCTCTAAATGTAAAAAAATGTCCTATTCTCTGAAACGTATTGAACTTGACCACCCCTATACCATAAACAGCGCAATCCTGGAAAATTGTGAGCATGTTAAGGACTTGGGTGTTTACCTGGATAAGAAACTGACTTTTAACATACATATTGATGAAGTATCCCGTGGCGCTCTTAAATCTTTAGGATTTCTCCTAAGATCCACAGAAGGTTTCAATAGTCCATTATGTCTAACGGCATTATACATGAGCCTTGTGAAATCAAAAATCAATTATGCCTCTCAAATTTGGTCACCAATTCACCAGGTCCATATCCGGAGGTTAGAAAATGTTCAGCGTAAATTCCTAAAATATCTCTCGTTCAAACTGGATGGTGTTTTCCCAGAGCGTGGTTATAACCACTTACGGCTGTTGCAAAGGTTTGATCTTTTATCTATTGAGCAAACTCATAGACTTCACTCTTTATCTTTCCTTTATAAACTTTGTAACGGTCATGCGGACTGCGCTTCGCTATTAGCTCGGCTGAACTTTTCAGCTCCGCTCGTCCGTACTAGAAATCAAAACACGTTCTACCTGTCAAACGTCAGGACTTGTTTAGCCGGTAAGGCACCCCTCTACCGGGCCTGTACTGATTTCAATGATGTTGAGAGCCTGGCATCTGTTGATATATTTGGCGACTCACTGCGTCAATTCAGGAATGTTTTGGTCGGGCAAATGAAGAATCCTAACATTTTGTGATATTTTTTATTTTTTTATTGTAGTTCGTTAGATTTAGAGTTTTGCTTTCACTTTATATTTATATTAGGTGTTATTTTTTTTTTTTAAGATTACATATAGATTTGTTATATTTTGCAAGTTGTACTTTTATGGTTGATTTGTGCTTATTTTAGCTTCATTTATTATTAATGTTCGTGCAATTGATTTAGTGTACACAATTGTCTTTAATTTGGGATTTCCTGTTAGACAATTAAACCTATTATTTATTTATTTATTTATTTATTTATTTTATTAGAAAACATATATACTTAATACATATAATAAATAAAAAAAAAAAAAAAAAAAAAAAATGTTAAAAGAAAAATGTGACAATTTTCAAACATTTTCTTTTTTTGTGTGGTGCGAAGGAGAACAAAACCTGCGATAGGCAGGTAATTGCCTGGGGAAGCTTTACGCGCGAACATATATACCACACCCACCCTGAAAAAATATTTAGCACTTATATACTAAAAACCTCAACCCTGTATACTTGAATATTAAGATGATTACTCCTTGCTTAGTTATTTTAAAAAGAGTATTCTTATATTTCTGAATACAACTATATAAAAAATGTATTTAAAGAAAGGTATATCATAGGTTCACATGTTATGAAAATTAAATATGAAACAAGGTCTGGTTACCACTTTTAACTCTAGTATCTCAGAAATGCGTAAAATTTCATGTTATGTTCATCAGATTCACAAAGACACAACAGTGTATTTGTATGTGTATTTAATTCCATTTTATTAAAACAACTAGCTAGAATGTGGTATTTGATAACAATTATAAATACTACACCATAAATAACGTTGCAGCAAGTCCAAACTCAATATTTAATTAATAACTAATTTTTGAATTTTACTTTCGAACAGGTACGAGTTAAATTATACATATTTTGAGTTAACTCACCAAGCAAAATATACAAATAGTTACTATTAATATTCAAAAACATTTTCCTTAAATACTAAGTAATGTTGCGTTTAGTGTATGAATAAAAAGTCGTCTATGTTACTACGTATTTTTTAAATAGTTATATTAAGAGTCATTTGCTTAGCTGTGGCTTGTCCTTTAGCTTGATTTTTTTTTTGAAAATATATAAATTTTTTTTTTTTTTTTTTTTTTTTTTTTCAAAAAGTTAAAAATTCTACTTTATAAACATACCTTTATGATACATGCCTACTGCCTACGTTTCCTGAGATACTCTCTGCCTGTTTGGACCAACTTTTTCATAATCTATTTGACTTTATTTTTGCTGTTTTTCAAACAAGACTGTATTCCGTTTTCTTTCCTTTTCCAATGGGATTTCTTTCTTCAAATTAATTTCTTTCTTGCCAATTGTAAAAAATATTAAAAAAAAAAAAAAAAAAAAAAAAAAAAAAAAAAAAAAAAATAAATTTCTTGCAGTTTTTAGGTATATAATAAATTAATATAATTTTTTTTTTTTTTTTTTTTTTTTTTTATTGAAATTAATTCCACGCTGTGTTCGTTATAATGTGGATCAACCTGCTCTCACTACGGGTCTTCGGGCCCTACCCCATCATCAAGTAAGCTTGGTTATTTCCACAAAACGACGAGACGAGCAGCAGCGCAGAAATAATAAAATTGAAGAGCACGACTTGTGTAAAGTAGCCGGTACAGCATATTAAAGTCCCTCGCGATCGCGAGACTAGCCGGCGGCTCTGGGCGCTCATGGGTGAGCTCGTAGGAGGCGATGCACTACCATGCACTATTATTTGCACTACCATGCAAAATTATTACCATTGCACGCAGGCGCTATCTCGCGATGCGGGACTTAATATTTTACCGCTACTTTACGAAAAGTCGTATTTATATACTCTGGCCGCTGTGCTCGTCTATTTTGTGGAAATACCAAAGCTCACCTGATGATGCGTATGGGGCCCGAGTTTTTAGAATTTTAAAATTTTTTTAATGCCAAATATTTTATCAATAACATCAATTTTGTCGCTGTCAATATACTGTAATCTTGATATTATATTAATATTAAAAGACAGAGTGGCAATTTAGTATTTTAAATCAAATTAAAACTATTTTCTGACAGTTTTTTTCAGAACTAGTACATTTATTTACACATTTTAGTTCAATTATATTTTTTTAACGATCGATTTTAAATAATTTTATTTATATTTAATCACTTTTTATCAAATGTAGTCTGGAAGGTAC